TAGCCTAACCACAATATACAGCTGTGAAGTCACTGTTTCACTCACACACACATTAGCCTAACCACAATATACAGCTGTGAAGTCACTGTTTCACTCACACACACATTAGCCTAACCACAATATACAGCTGTGAAGTCACTGTTTCACTCCACACACACATTAGCCTAACCACAATATACAGCTGTGAAGTCACTGTTTCACTCACACACACATTAGCCTAACCACAATATACAGCTGTGAAGTCACTGTTTCACTCACACACACACATTAGCCTAACCACAATATACAGCTGTGAAGTCACTGTTTCACTCACACACACATTAGCCTAACCACAATATACAGCTGTGAAGTCACTGTTTCACTCACACACACATTAGCCTAACCACAATATACAGCTGTGAAGTCACTGTTTCACTCACACACACATTAGCCTAACCACAATATACAGCTGTGAAGTCAGTTTCACTCACACACACATTAGCCTAACCACAATATACAGCTGTGAAGTCACTGTTTCACTCACACACACATTAGCCTAACCACAATATACAGCTGTGAAGTCACTGTTTCACTCACACACACATTAGCCTAACCACAATATACAGCTGTGAAGTCACTGTTTCACTCACACACACATTAGCCTAACCACAATATACAGCTGTGAAGTCACTGTTTTGCTCACACACATTAGCCTAACCACAATATACAGCTGTGAAGTCACTGTTTCACTCACACACACATTAGCCGAACCACAATATACAGCTGTGAAGTCACTGTTTCACTCACACACACATTAGCCTAACCACAATATACAGCTGTGAAGTCACTGTTTCACTCACACACATTAGCCTAACCACAATATACAGCTGTGAAGTCACTGTTTCACTCACACACACACATTAGCCCAACCACAATATAAAGCTGTGAAGTCACTGTTTCACTCACACACACACATTAGCCCAACCATGATTAGTACACCCATGATAAACCTGTGCAGACACTGTCTCACACAAACACACATTAGTACACCCACGATACACCTGTGCAGTCACTGTCTCACTCACACACAGACATAAGTACACCCAAGATACACCTGTGCAGTCACTGTCTACTCAGACATTAGTACACCCACGATACACCTGTGCAGTCAGTCTCACTCACACACAGACATTAGTACACCCGCGATACACCTGAGCAGTAACTGTCTACTCACAGACATTAGTACACCCACGATACACCTGAGCAGTAACTGTCTACTCACACAGACATTAGTACACCCACGATACACCTGAGCAGTAACTGTCTACTCACACAGACATTAGTACGCCCAAGATACACCTGAGCAGTAACTGTCTACTCACACAGACATTAGTACACCCACGATACACCTGTGCAGTCAGTGTCACTCACACATTAGTAGACCTACGAGACACGTATTAACTCACTCTCTCACTCACACAAACACCCATGTGTACACCCACAAGACACCTATGCAGCCTTACTAAAAATGCAGTAGTTGTTAGTGGCACAAAGAATTGACACATAAGGAACAGGAAACTCATTTTTCAGACAAAGTACAAATGTTAAAATGTTGCATAAATTATTGATTGCAATTATTATTTCGTCTCCTAAAATAGAACAAAATGTCATTATCACGTATCTTGGTGGAATGATGGAGCTGCCATCCACAGCTACTTCAACAAATAGCATGCATATCTTCAGAATCAGGAATGAAAATTGCAACTGTAATTGGTGCACATCAAAATAATGACTGATCGAATTATGACATGTGTTGTCACGGGTGCAGGCTAAAACCGAACCACAGCAAAACGGCACCATTTGGACATAACGGAACCTCGACTTGGCTTAGCGGCTACGGCACTTATGGTGAGGAGCACCAAATGGGAAATCCTAATTATTGGGAACATCTTATTTGTCATTAGATAATCTGAATACAGAATTTTGGAAGCCGTCTACTCTGCCGACAGTGATTGGAAAGTTTGTGTTAGCTGATAATCGGATTCCAGTATGTTTAGATAATGAATGAGTCTGACTGATAATCGGCTTGTAGAATGTTTCGATAGTCAAAACATCTACTGTGCCGAGAGTGATTGGAAAAGCCTGTAAATTTAGCGTGAAAACATCACAACCTTTGATGTTTTAAGTACATTTACTCAACTCAAATCGCCCAAACTCAGTGTCAAAATGAAACTGTATTTAAAACATTCATCACAATGCCTCACCGCTGTGTTGTATGCGATAAGACTGTCAGAAAGAATCAACATGCCGTATCTTGTGACGAGTGTGATTTATGGACTCATCGTGTTTGTGGTACCGGCCTGTCTGTATCACGGTACCGTGAGATTTGTCGAAATGAAGAGGATTTTCCTTTCGTATGTGTTCGCTGTCGCAGGACAACATTTGACAACATGATGGACACAGTGAACTTTCATGTAAGTTTGGAAGCGGACACCACCTTACCCCCTACCCTAGAAGAAGACATGGATGAAGGAAGGGCTCCCGACCTATCGGACATCAATATTTCAACAGAGTCATTGCCTCCACAAGACGACCATGATATCAACCATTCCATGGTAGACCGCACCCTCCTCGACCCCCCTACTGCTGATATCCCGGACAACGAGTACACAATCGTGGAGATTGGTTCTCAGAAAGGAAAGAAGAAGCTGGTCGATTCATATGGATCCACATATGTCATTCGGGTAAGTACAGATTTTTTCCTAAATATATAACTTCAGAAATGTTATATATAATAAATAATGTATAAGTAATAAATACATAATATATAAATAAGTTGAATGTAATCACGGTGTATAATAATATTGTTTTGTAACAGAAATCAACAAGACTGTGATCCTTGACTTCGAGCAGGCTGCCTGGAAGGCCATGAAGAAGACATTACCTGACGTCTGTGTCCGTGGATGCCTGTTCCACCTGACTCAAGCAGTTTGGCGAAAATGTCAAGAGCTGGGCCTACAGGTACGCTAATGAATCATTCAATCATCATTTAATCATTCAATCATTATTTAATCATTCATCATCATATAATTTATTCATTTATTTATTTATTATATTATTTCATCCAAATTCATATGTGTATGTACTATTTCAGGTACCTTACATGGAGGACGATGATATTCACAAGTTCGTGAGAAAGCTGATGTCTCTGCCATTTCTTCCGAGCGCTGATGTAACCAGGTTATTCCACAAGATTTCGGATCGGGTTCCAAGTCATGGCAGGCTACGACAGCTGACTGACTATGTTGAGAGTCAGTGGATCTCCCATTGTATATTCACCCCCCGCACCTGGTCAGTCTTCAACATCGCAGTCAGGACAAACAACTTTGTTGAAGGTATACATTCAAAATACAAACTTAAAATAAATTAATGAATATTATACTATTTTTGCATTGTCAGGTTTCAATTTTTATAATGTTACGTAAAAATATGTTCTTCTTTTCATGCTGGCACAGGCGAATCAATAACAAGGTTGGCGAACAGTCACTGGGGCTCTACAGGCTCATCCCAGAGCTCCATCGTGAGGCCAGCCTTCTACCCCTCCAGACCAGACTTATACAGGAAGGAAGGCTAAAGGCATACATCCGAAAATCCTCAACAGCTAGGCAGGAGGAGGTTTTCGAACTGTGGAGTTTATTCAAAGATGGAGACCTGTCTCTGTCGCAGCTACTATCAAGATGTGCGATGATCCATGGACCAATCGTTTAGTGCAATTCATGAAGACATTCGGCCAAATAAGCATCCGGCCAAATATGGACGTGTGAACATGTGTTATGTTGACAGTTTGTTATCGTCTTTATTATAATGGGTGATTGAGTGAGTTATGATTTTATGCCGCTTTTAGCAATATTCCAGCTATATCGCGTGTTATAATCCTGCTAACGTTGAAATGAAATAAAAACCATAAGTCATCGTCATACTGTGTTTTTTATATGTTGATTCTAATGTTATAATTAAACGAACTAAAACATAAAAGTCAACATCATACTGTGTTTTGTATATGGTGCCGTTTTAGCTCAGAAACCAGTAGCCGTTTTCGCCAATACGGTGCCGTTTTCGCCACACGATTTTGGTGCCGTTCTGCTGTGGTGCCGTTTTAGCTATAACCCGTTGTCACTATGTGTACTTTGTGTGAACAGTGGTGTAAAACTGTTATTAACACCACCAGTATTGATTATCAGACATAAGTTTAGGCAGGTTCACCCAGGTTTCTATAAAGTCAGTCAAATTGTCTGTTGTGACATGTGAGATACATATATGTCTAGTTTGATGCAACAAAGATTGCAATACTGATTCATAGTGATACTTCACAAACTTCCATTGCAACTATAAATGTTACCTTGCAGCTATCATACTCAGTTTACTGTTCACTCACACACTCATCACATGTACCAAACTGTACAGCGATTAAACTAATATAATCTTATACCCTAGGCCGGCCTATATACAAAATGATTGCCATCTGGGCCTGCCTGTAAACCTGCCCAAGAAATTTAGCGCACGGCATTAGAGCATATGTAGTTTCTACCACTTGAACAATTTGAATAAGCCTCAGGGAGCAGTAAGACGGCTTGTGTGAACCTATCTGTCATCTGTAGTGGTCATCTCTGGCCAGGGTCAGGTGAGGTCATCGACTTCATCACACTAGACTGTCCAGTGGATTGACAGCGTACGTTGTCTACTGGACCTAACGTCTCGCAAACGTCTCGTGTGATGTAAAAAATTAATATACACAACATAGAAGCCGCGAATTCAATGTTTAGCGAGCACGTTTTATATCATAATTCATTGTAAAGCTCACTGTACATAGCATAGATTATCATTGTCCGAACGACTTGTCCATGCGACAATTTCTGGGACATTTTGCAGCTAAAAGATCGAGTGTCAACATGAAGTGACAAATGGTCAATACAGCAGGCATGATAATGGACTGGTAAATACATATAAACTGACAATCTTACCCCTGTGACACTGAACCACGTCCAGCTGCCTATCCATGGCGGCGGGTATTTGATCCATAGTTGTTCAACCGAATCCTATCTCATATACACTCCGTGACCATGTGCACCAATGCCGGAAATGCGCGCCAAGTTGAAAACAATCATTGCGCAGTCGCGAAAATGCATCTCGCGTGAACATTTCACACATGTCGCATTTAATAACAACAATATATCATTCAACTGATACGTTTATTCGCTTTTGTATGTGCTGTTGACTGTTAATCGCGGTATATCATTATCTGATAATGGATTAATATATGATGAAAGGGAGAGAAAATGTGTTTTTGTACCTACTCCTCCTGAAGCCAGGACGAATTATCTCCCTTGATTCTCTACGCTAACAGAAGGCACAACTTTACAAATAGTTGTAAGTCGTTTGTGCCTAGGCAGTGTAGGCACTCTATCATGTCTGAGTATTCTTATATAAAGGTAGTTCACCAATTCTCAACCTGGTAAGTCTACCTTTTTGCATTTGAAGATTAGTTAAATACAAATAGCAAAATTGAATAAATATCTAAAGATAGTAATAAATGCGTAATGTCATGATATTATTCATGACAATCACTTTTTCTGTGATGAAATTCGTTTAAAAACAATTGCCAACTCCTGGCGATTCTCATGCCAAGCCAAATCCACAACTGAGTAAAATATCTCTAACATGATATAGATCTACCCAGTTCCATCCAGTTTTGTCAACATTGTTACATCTTCCTTGATGGGCATTTCTAAAGAAGTTGGGGTGAAGGAGAATGGTGATACTTTGTACATGTACAACTTCTTTATTCTGTGAATGGCAACGTTTCGACATAGATTCCAATGCCGTTGTCAAGCAAGTGATCACTAACAACATTAACACATTAGAATCTATGTCGAAACGTCGCCTATGTCGAATCGTCGCCTTTCACAGAATAAAGATGTATATACTAGTATATATCCATAAAAGGTATCATCATTCAACATTGTACAGTACATGTAGAACATTTTATACATGTTTAGGATATATGTCTTTTTGGCAAATAGAACTATTTGAACCAATAATTAACCACTCATAATAAAGTGTCATAGATTTCTATCACATTCTGTCAAAACAGCAACCTCTGTACATCTACATCTTGCAACTAGCAAGTACTTGAAAAACCTAATGTGAAATTTAAGAGCACCTTTAGAACACAGCACTTCTCGTGCGGACAATCTCTGTCGTAGGCCACGCGTCACATGCTGTATTCTAAAGGTAGGCCGAAATTTATCAAAGACATTCCAATTCAGGACCCACTATAGTTGTGAAGCTTAGAAAATAATTGCATTAAATATAATCATTCTAACCTAAAACCCCGCAGAGACCAGAGGCAGTGGTACTGGAGAAATAGGGAGTAAAAATGGTCCAATGTATTAATTGTTATTTTCAAGTGGTATTACAATAATTTAGAATTGAGGATAATCCTGTATCTGGGTCTGACTACCAGCCCCTGTGACACGATATGGTTCAAAGGGGAAGTAAATAAACACGAGGCCAAGCTGCAGATATCCTATTTCCTGCCTCTTTCAAACCTGCAGCAATGCGATGGTTGCCTTGCTTACGTAGAACGATTGTGCATCATCACCACACTGCATGGCAACCATGCCGAAGCTGATCAAAGCTGATACAGTAAGGAGCACTTGTGTCTATCACATACAAACACTGCAATAGTGAAGTAAGCTTGATTAAACAGACAATACCCAGAATTTCCTGCCTTCAGCAAAGTAAAATCACAATACAGTAAAAAATGGACAGTTTCTGTATGATGGGTCACTATCTGTTGAAAATGGCACCAAACAATCAATCTGATCATACTTCAAAACACAACAAGGAAGCATAACTTGCATCAGTGAGCTATTTGATCACTTCAGCTCTCAAATAAAAACTTCTATAAAGTTGCTGCTGACAGTGCAATATGGGTAAACTAGCGTATGTTATATTTGGGATTACACTTTCTTAGTAAAGTACAGATTCTAGTCCTTTGTAAAATGGCATTGTGTATCATGGGTAAACACAGATATATCACAATAAACATCACAAAAATACTAGTACATAGACCATGTTGTGAGGACGAACACAGCCCGAAACATTGTCTTGGGTCATCTACTCCTAACGCAGCCAGACTACCTCACAAGAGGAGTTCTTGGGACTAACAGCAAATCCTTCGATACAAAAATATTGCAAGACAAAAACACTTTAGATTATGCCTCAGATCAGAAAAATAACTTCACTATTCTCAACTGGAATATTAGATATGAACTCATCCAAAGTCACAGATGTGATGACTTCAGATCCCAAGAAAGTCACTACAAAGTGTTAGATCCTCTCTGATCTCTACAAACTCAAGTTGACATTTCTTTAACATCAGAAGCACATAAATGGGAAGTGCAATTGGACACATGTAAAATTGGCAGATGGCTCCTGAGAATCAACAACAACATTGCTATTTCAGTTCCTCTTCAGGTAGTTTTCACAGCCTTTACTCCGAGGCTTAGTATTTTTAGTCAGCATTTGCGTAGGACCTTTCACGTTGAATACACCATGTTCCAAAAATGAACGCCTGAAAACTTAAATACTGAAGGAAAACTAAGTTGTATGGATAGCCTAGTCAACTTCTTTATTGCAACTACAAACACACGAATAACCCAAAAGCCAGACAAGAACTATTAAACGCTATAACTCTATTAGACTTGAAAGACCCCTGGAGAGAATCAAACCCGTATAAAAAACGTTTCACTTGGAGACAACCAACCCCGCTTAAACAATCAAGGCTAGATTTTTTCCTTGTATCACATAATCTCTTACAGGCAGTTACACAAACAGATATATCCCAAGCATTAGTTCGGACCACTCAATAATCTCACTAGCAATATCTTTAGGAGATACGATAAGAGGGAAAGGATTTTGGAAGTTTAATAACTCTCTACTCCACGATGAAAAATATGTTGAAAAAGTAAAAACTACAATAAAGAATACCTTACAACAATATGAAGTTAAAACGGAAGCAAAAGCTGAAGAAACAAGATATACCATAAATGATCAACTGTTATGGGAAATGCTACTTCTAGAAATTAGAGGTATGACTATATATTATTCATCTACAAAAAGAAGAAAAAATGACTTTAAATAGGGGAAAGGCTTTGGAAAATAAATTGAGAGAATTGGAAATCGACCTGGATACAGAACCAGCTGGAAAAAAAGACAGAAATACTTAAAAAAGTAAATGAAGTTAAACAAGACCTAGAAGAAATTAGTAAACAAAAGATAAAAGGTTTATACATAAGATCTAAGGCAAAGTGGATCGAACAAGGGGAAAAACCATCAAAAGTACTTTTTACAATTAGAAAGCAGAAATTTTTAAATAAATCAATAATGGAATTTGAAAAAAGGACGGTACAGTGATAAAAGATTATAAGGAAATACTAGAAGAGACTAGAACATTCTACAAAAACTTTACTTAAGTGAAGACTGCACACAAATTAAATTAGAAGAATTGTTCATAGAAGATGAAATACCTAAACTGTCAGAAGAAGCTGCCTCATCTTTAGAGGGAGAAATAACATACAAAAGAAACGCTTGTCGCTTTTAAAGAAAATGAAAAATGATAAAAGTCCGGGCCCGGATGGCTTCTCCAGTGAATTCCTCAAGTTTTTGGAATGACTTAAATAAATTTCTAATTAACTCCTTGAAATATGCATATGAAAATGGTTCCATGTCCGTATCACAAAAACAAGGTCTTATTACTTGTATCCCTAAGAGTGGTAAAAGTAAAAAAATGCTAAAAAACTGGAGACCAATATCACTACTAAATACCTCTTACAAACTAGCTTCTGCAGTTATAGCAAATAGAATAAAGACAATATTACCACTTATTATCAGCGAGGATCAAAAGGTTTTATTCAAGGAAGATACATAGGAGAAGTCACAAGGCAGATATACGACGTAATGGACTATAGTGAATCATATCAAATTCCAGGATTATTACTGCTTATTGATTTTGAAAAAGCTTTTGACTCGGTTGACAGAAAATTTATGCAAAATGTAATGGATTTTTCAACTTTGGACCATGTATTCGAAATTGGATACAAGTATTGCTAAACGACAGTGAATCAAGCGTATTAGTAAATGGGTTTTCGCGAGTGAATTTTTCAAGATAACTAGGGGATGCCGACAAAGGAGACCCAATATCACCTTACATTTTATCTTATGTGCCGAAATACTAGCTATTCTAATAAGAAAAAATAAAGAAAATTAAAGGGATAAAGATAGGTAATATACAAAGCCTTTTAGCCCAATTTGCAGACGACACTACAGTGACCTTAGACGGATCTGAATCAAGTTTGTATGCAGTTTTGAACACATTAGCTTTCTTTGCAAGATTTTCAGGGTTAAAAGTTAACGCAGAAAAAAAACAGGCTAATATGGATAGGGTCAAAAAACGATCCAGGTATAAGATGTGCAAGGAATGGAATCTGGATTGGACACAATCAAATTTTAAACTTTTAGGAATAGTTTTTGATGTTGAATTAAATAACATTGTAGACCTAAATTATAATGATAAATTTGGAAAAATCTACCAAGAAATGAATATTTGGTCTCTGAGATATTTGACACCAATGGGCAAAATGTTATTTTAAAATCCTTGCTTTTACCAAAGTTAAACCATCTATTTTCATCCATCCCGAGTCCATCTGAAGACACATTACAAAAGTTCCAAAAAAAGTGTTTTAACTTTGTGTGGCAAGGAAAAACAGATAAGGTAAAGCGAGAAATTATGTATCTTAAACCAAAGGATGGAGGAATAAGTGTACCCATTGTAAGAACTACTATAATTGCGCAAAAAAATAATGTGGATTAAACGGTTGCTGCTCAACAGTTCAAAATGTACATCTATTGCAAATGAAATCCTAGACAATGCAAATAAATTATGGTATGCTGATGCACAATATGTGTGCAATAATATTATTCCCAGTGTTTCAAATCAATTTTGAGTGACGTGTTAATAGCATGGTGCCACTACTTAAAAGGTGTTACACAAATGTGCAAGAAATATCAGATATTTTCAACCAGTCTCTATGGTTTAATAATAACATTA